ATCTCCAGTACCATAGAATGTATCAACCAGCCTATAATCAGAGAGTTGGTGATCTCCCACTGGTCATACCGAGGGTCTGTGATATTGGGTGCCTGTACCATCCCATCAAAATATCCAATATTTCCTCTGCTTCTCAAGAAAATAGTCAGACTCTGCAACCATGCTAGGTAATTCTGACCATTGAATGGAGAGGTGGTGATTTTAAGGCTAGAGTTGAGGTTATCAATCATAGTAGAAGGGACAATAAAACTCTCACCTTGAGAGGGCTAAGAGGTAGTAGAGTCACTAGTCAAATCCTCCATGGAGACTCTACTAATTACTCCTCAAACATAATATAGATGCATAAAGAATTAAGAATCCAGTATGAACCCTTTTTTTTTGGAAGAAAAGAAGAAGGAAACGAGGATGGTATCTAACCTGGTCAACACATCAGAAAGAAGCCAACAGACAGCAAAGGGTCAAAAAACAGAGGGTGTCGGATGAAGCCAAAAATAGGCATAAGGGCTGTCGGTTGGGTAGAGGGACTGCCAGTGGCAGTCGGCAAGACTTGGATGGCCTGCACCAGTGGCCGACTAGGCTAGGTAGCCTAGCAGTGGCCAACTGGGCTGGGAAAGCCCTCGGCAGTCTTACAGAGTGTGATGAGGCCATGAAGCCCTATGGCAGTGGCCGACTGGGCTAGGGCTATTGTTTCGTCTGCCAAAAATGGATGGGTAGCTTTGTGGTGGTATATGGGTGGCTTTGTGGTGGCTGTGTGGTGGCGTATGGGTTTAGGTTTGTGGCTCTGATACCATGAAAGTTTTAGAGAAAAGAAAGAGATAGGGAATGAGTGAGACCTCATCTCCTTTTATATTAAGAATAAAGCATATTTACAGGAGTGCCATAAGGCATAAATTACGGGCCAGCTCATTACAGCCCATTGCATCAATTAAGGAATAAAAACAAATCAGAATATGTGAATATAATTTCCTATTCTAACACTATCATGTGATCGGGGGCACTAGAATCAATAATCCAAGAAAGCGACGAGGATATACTAAGAGCACTAGCAAGAATACCTTTGTGGGCAAAATTGGAAAAAGCTGGAGTGGAAGAAGCTATGGTGGAGAATCAAGCCAAGCCAGCAAATGCCTAAGAGTGTGTAAGTCATCCTAAGAAAGAGTACTAGGCTCAGAAGAAGTGCTAGCAACAATCTTAGACAAATGCGCTTGGGGACAAACTGTATTTCCACGGCCCTGACCTAAGTAGGGCGGCCATTCAGTTTCCAACAATGCTCTTGACCATGTTTGTCTTTCTCACAATAATTACACTTCAATTGATCTCGATCAACCAGTGTACCTTAACTACCTTCTGAACCGGACTAGACCGAGGAGCTCGAGTAGGAGGAGCAACAACCAAAGCAGAACGATCTTGAATAGAGGAATGAACCATAGCATTACGTCGACTCTCCTTTTGCAGGACAAGAGCATAAGCCTTGCGTAGGGTGGAAAAAGGTGAACAACCTAACACCTGGACGCGAATTTGATCATACTCCAAATGCAGTCCAGCAAGAAAGTCATACACACGCTCCTTCTCCACGGTTTGCTGAAACAAAGTGGCATCCCTAGAACAAACAGCCTGGAAGCTATGGTAATAGTCTAGTTCTTGCCACAAGCTACTCAATTCAGCATAGTCTATTGCGAGTGATCTATCCTTCTGATCTAAGCCTTGAAGCTTCTTCCTCAACTCATATGCCTGTGCAACATTACCCTGTTGGGAGTACATTTGGGCTGCAGTTGTCCAAATCTTATGAGTAGTATCTAATAAGAGGAAACTACGACTAATGGTGGGTGGCATAGAGTTGATTAGCCAAGTCATAACAAGAGCGTTCTCAGAAATCCATTGAGTACGCATTGAGTCATCACTATCCGATAGGGGAAGAGAACCAGTAATGTAGCTAGTCAAACAACGAGCAGCAATAGCAAGACTACAAGAGCGTGACCAAATCAAATAGTTGGAACCATCCAGTTTAACGAGACTAATTTGAAAAGAGGGACTGTCGTTAAGAGTAATAACATGACGCAACCCATCCTCATCACTAACTGTATCCTTAGTCTCACCCTCAGCCATTGAAAATTAAATCCCCAGAATAGAAAAAAAAAACACCAACCCAAACCAGCAAAAAACAAAAGCAAATCTACAAACTCAACTTAGGGACAAAAGTTATCTCCAGAGACAAAAATAGAGCCAAAACATGGGCTGGAGAAGCCAAAACTGTTAGCCGAAAAATAGCCCCAGCAAGGACTTCTGAAAAATCAACCAATTTTTCCAAAAAATCAACAAAACATTGGAAAAACATTCGAACACTCCTCAAAAAATTAAAATAAAAATCTAGGGTGAAAACCCATCAATTTGGACATAATGGTTTTTTTTTTTTTTTTTTTTTTTTTTTTGGGTTGTGTATAGGGAAAAACGAATGAAACACAGGAACAAGGGGAAGAATCTTCAAGGAGGAAGATGAAGCTTTGAATATCATGTTAGATTTGTATAAGAAAAAGAAAAGAATGAATAGAAAGAAGAAAAGAGAGAAATAGAACGGCTGAGTTTATTAACATACACTAATCATATTTAGGGTTCTCCCTTACACATTTAGTAATAAAAGGCTAAAAGGGCAAAGGACATAACTACCCTTTAGACACTACTTAACAATAATTCATTTCAGCAAAAGTAGAGAATTGAATTCATTTCCTTAAATTAAATTCCACATATTTTAGGAAATATGGTCAAAACAGTGCAACCTGTTAGATTATACTTCTCAAATAATTAGGGATTTTCCAACTCAAAAGCTTAAATCCTATGAAGCACGGACACGTCGCTGGAGGCAGCATATGGGTGTCAGACACGTGTCGGACACGGACACGCGTCGGGCACGCGGTAGACACATGTCCGACACTCGCCTAACGTGTCGTTTTTTTTTGAATTTTTGCAGGTGGAACACTCTTCGGACACGCTTGACACGTCGTGGACACGTTGTAAACAGAAACCTAACCAGAGACCTAACCCATTAAGATAGAGAGAAAGAGAAAGAGAAAGAAAGAGAGAGAAAGAACCTGTCGAGGCTAGATTGAGGAAGAACCTGTTCGTCTCTTATCGTCTTCATCTCCTTTCTCTCTGTCCATCTCTCTCTGGTGTTGCCTCTCGCTCTCTGATCGTGTCTGCCCCTCGCTCTCGCTCTCGCCTCACTTTCTTTCCCTCTTCCTATACCGTGTCTGTCTCTCCCTCTTTATTCTTTTTTATTCTATTTTTTCTTTTTTATGCCTTTCTTTTGTAAATAATATATAAATAAATACAAATAATATATTTATTTTTAAATTTTACATATAATAAATAAAATAATAAAATAATAAAAATTAGTATATATTTTTTAATTTTACATATATATATAAAAAAATTATATATATTGAACGTGTCCCAACGTGTCGTGTCCCTATTTTTTGAAAATTTGTATTTTTGCGTGTCCGTGTCGTGTCGCGTGTCTGTGTCCGTGCTTCATAGCTTAAATCCAATTAATTAGGTGTGGAAAATAAGTTCTTTGATTCTTCCCTAAAAATATCATCTCTAAACAAAACCAACCAATTAAAAGGTCATAATTAGGTGCAGGACATGAATATTACCTTAGTTTAAGCTAGGAACGAGTTTAGATCAAGAATTGAACTTCTCTCTCTCTCTCTCTCTCTCTTTTGTTTTTTATTTGATTTATTTGAAGAAAGACACTTGTCTCTACAATATTTACATATATCTAATATAAGGGGGCACAGTCCTAAGTGAGGTGTATGCTTGGTTGTCCCTATTAATACATCATAACTAAATTAACACTAATTAAGCTAGGTTAGTACTATATATCAAGTTTAGGCCTACTAATTACATTTAACCTGATTAATTATGGCTAAGCTTAATTAATCTTGATTGATTACACAAATCACGCTTAATTACCATTAATCCCGATTAAGTTTTCAGATAATATATGAAATTGTCTAGTACATTAGACCAAATACAATTAAGCATACCCTTGATTAAGTATCAAGAGCACACATGAGCATACGATGTTTAAAAATGAAATTTTCTAAATCTTGTATCCTAAACTTCATCCATTTCCTACCAAAACATATTTCCAAAAGCATTTCAAATATTAAAGAGGCAGTGCAACTCAAGCACTTAAACATGAAACAAAACATGCATGTGTCATGCAATAATTACTAGAGGCGTTACACTATGGCTGATTTACAATCTCTCTTCCTTTATGTGGGAGTCTCATTTTAGGTGTAGAGCATGAAATTTGGAAGTTAATAATTCCTTATCTGGAAAGAGGGTCTTTATCCTTGCAAACCTTAGTGGACATTGCACTCTGCTTGAATTGGAGTTCTCTTGAAGCGATTTTGGTGAATTGTTTGTATTTAGTATACATAAAACTATTCATCTACATAGCTCAGCAGATCTTTATTCCTGAACTATTTAGGTTGGGACAAATAATTGTTCAGCAGACTGCCTAAATATCGCAATTCCTCTACAGTTGTATCTCTCACACAACCTAACTTGTGAATGTCTGCCTTGTGTCTATTTTGCTACTTTCAACTTGGATCATAATTCAGACCACTAGTCAGTTATATGCTCACTTAGTGTATGCTGCATGCAGTTGTAGGATCGTAAACATGTTTTTCACTGAGTCTTGAATTGTTCTACACCCTTGTCATTCTGACTAACACATTTGTTTGTCTTTCATATTTAGCTACATTGTTGTTCATTCATGTCATCCTTTCTGGTCTCATCCTATTTATTCTCTATCAGTTAATTAGTTTGTTTATGATCAGAAATCCTGATGTGTAGACAACTTCTATCACACATTTATTATTGTGTCTTTTATTCCTTTCTCTAATAGGTTGGTGATTTTGGTTGTTTATATGCATTTTAAGGCTGTTTGGTCTAATTACTGCTTGAGAATGACCTTGTAGTGAATTCTGATACAGGTAGAAGTTCTTGGAGTTTCTCTCCTTGAAAAGTATCTTTTCGTCTGGTTTGGATATGAGTCCATTTTGTGCTGCTGCTTTATCCATTGAAACAGTGTCACCACCTGCGCAACCAATGCATCTTCTGACCTATGGTAGACCATCTGACAGGAGACAACATGCCTTCAGAATCCATTTCTCACCAGTGATGGGAATTCTGTACATGAGGGAAGTGACTTTCTTGACATCCCTGAACAAGCTGCACTTGACACCTGACTGGTGAAACTGATTCTAAATTGTCTTTGTCACAAGACTATAGGACTTTCAGACACTGGTGCACAGCAATACATAAATTGTTTCAAGTTCCTTTCAGGCTCCAATATGGTATGTTAACATTATGTTAAATTTTGTTCTGGTGATCATTTTACTGCTTGCTGTTCTGGATGATCGCTTTACTGCTTGCTTGCTTACATCACTATGATGTAAATTTTTGGTAGTTCTTTTGGCAACATTTTATCCTGACTGCAGTTATGATGCCTTGACATCTTTCTTTCTTTTTTTTCATTATTTGTTTCATTTTATGAATTCCATGACACAAAATATCTATATCCATTATGCAATGCATAACTATAACTACTTTTGTAGAGTGAGTGTTAAGGTTGATCATGTGCCTAACACTTCACAGCTGTAATCCCTGGTGTGTCTCAGAGCAAACCCGTTTAAAACTGTTAGAGACCTTCCATTGGCTTTTCAATGTAAGCCATGTGTGTAATTCCTTTAAAACATGTGCACTGACTTAATATCACTCTCACATGTCGAATATGCATGCTGCAAAAATTTCTTGTGATAGGCTATGCATGTCAAAGATGTGCGTACTATATGAAAACCTTGTGACGACGTTCACACAAAACGTTTGTTGCAGAATAATGTAAGTTTTGCTGCCATTGTTTAAATTGCTGCTCCAAATTAATTGATTAGTGTTGTGGTTCACGTTCTGCATCTTTTCGACTTCACAATATAAGATATGACTATTGAAGCAACATTATTTTCTTTTTATATGTAACTTTTGCCTACTTAATTATTCAATTTTGCAGGAAAGGAAACTGGGTTTCATAGAAGCTATGAAACTCGAAATTGAAAGGCTTCACCTAAATCTTTCAGCCGCTGAAGAGGATAGAGCTTTATTGTCAATTGCATTGATCATGCTACTGTAAATCCAAATGTATTGCTTGATGAATTGTACATAGGAAAGTTATGCAGGGTTGCGAACACTCTTGCTTTGCTTGGGCAGGCTTCAGTTGAAGACCAAATTACTTCTGCTATTGGTCTGGAGACTATTGATGATAGTTCTATGGATTTCTGAAATATTGCTAAGATTGGGGAGAGTTGTTCTGGTGGCATGTGTCAGATTCATGCTGAAGCTGGGGCAGATGGACATGCATCCTCTACTTTGTCTGCATCAGCAGCTTCACACTCTGTCTTTTTTTGTTCTCAATGTGAGAGAAAGGTTTGCAAAATTTGTTCTGCTGGAGAGGAGCTCTTCTGCTAGCAAGCTACAACTCAAAGGAGGTGTCAAACTATAATGGTGTATCAAGCCAGGGTGGATCAATCCATAGCAGCCCAGCTGATGTATCTTCAAATCGTTCAATGGATCTGAATGGAGTTGTTTGTAAGCTATGCTGCAATGATATTGTGCTTGATGCATTAATCTTGGACTATGTCAGGGTCTTGATAAGCATGCGCAGAAGTTCGTGCAAACAGTGCTGCACAGAAAGCTTTGGGCCATGTCATTGGATTTTCTTCAAGGGATTATCCTACTAAAATAAATAAGTCTTCTGATAAACATGAAAATGCTAAAATCTTAAGACAATTACTTAATGGAGAAGAATCACTTGCCGAATTTCCATTTGCCAGCTTTTTACACTCAGTATGTTCTTGCTTCTATCTTGTTTTGATTTTGGTCTATAAATTTATGGGCATGGTTTTTCTTATATATGTAATTTCGTGTGATAAATTGGACATATCCTAGGTCTACCATGTTTTTGTTATGATGCCTTGTAACTATCTAATATTACTCATCCTTTTGTCACCATCACTATTCAATATTCATTAAGGTATAGATCTATGGCTGTCTTTGTACACAGCTAGAGTCAATGTGGAGATTTTATCTAGTATTTTCTATTTTGTTTTATGTGATATTTTTTTTATTATTAACTTACCTATTTTTCATGTTTTGGAATTTTGATTAATAAGACTAGGTGGTTTGTTTCATGGTGTGAAGTTCTACAGTCAAAGAAGAGTGAGGATTCCTAATAAAAATGAGAAATGGAAACTATATCACTTAGATGACCATCCCTCGATAACCTTCTCTCTCTCTCTCTCTCTCTCTCTCTCTTGTTATTTTCTTAAAGGTTTTCCTTTCCTTTTTGTTGTTTAGGTCTAGACCTAGGCCTGCCCCCCATGGTTGGTTTTAATCAAAGGCACATAACAAGTCATGGGATTAGCTTTTGGAGTTTAGTTTGGTTTTATAATTATATGCCTCCTGTAACTGGATTGGGGCAGTTAGCATCAAGGTTGTTAAAACTGGGATTCTACGTGGGATCGGTGAGAGGGTTTCATGGATCGAATTGAGGATCGTAAGATTCTACTTTATATTAAAAATAAGGTAAAAATACAAATTAGGATGATACATGTTAAAATAAGGTGAAAACACAAATCCAACTATTCTGCTTACGATCCTATATGATCCTACTTCTAATCCTACTGTAACACCGATCCTACAACGATTTGGATCGTTTTAACAATTTAGGATCGTAGGATCCTATGATCTGGATTGCGATTTTGATAACCATGGCCACCATGCACTTCATCAGAATTGCTCAAACTTTTGCTCCTTGAAGCTTTTCACAATTAATTTCTTTGAACATGACTCAAATATGCTTTTAGAACCATGGTAGTAACAGAAATATGTTACATAAGGAGAATATAACTTAGTGTCACATGTTGGTCTTGCAGAAAAGGCAACATTGTGTGTGGCATTAGCTAGACACCCACCATGGTGTTTTGCAAAGGCAAGCAAACACTAAAAAGTAAACTTGTGGGTCGAGGAGTGTCAACCAACAAGCACTAGACTAGCTTGCAAGCAAAAACACGTATAAGACCCAAGCGACGATGAAATGAAGCATTTTATGCATCTTCTTGAGCTATTACAATGCACAAAAGAAGTTACTATTAATGTCCTACACATCTACTCCTACATTACAATAAAGGCCAAGGTAGTCTAGTTCATCACTTGGGTATCCCTTTAAAAACAGCTTTTTAAGCCATTAGCAATCTTAGGAGGAAAACATAAAAAAATACTGCTATGGTTGAGCATGCATGGCGCTGGCAACTGGCGCAACTGTGTGCACACAGCAAGGGTGCTGGGAGCGTGCACCATGTGTTTCATTGTGCACTCGCTCCTGACGACTGGCTAAAGACCCGGTCATATGCTCCATAGTACTAAGAGATCAATTTGCTTCTTTGAGATGGCAAACTAAATGTTAATTGAATAGAGATGTCAGTTATGACAAAAAAACCAATACGGTGTCAACTGTGCTGGTCACTTCACTAAACTGAGGCTCTGATACCAATTTGTCACAGTTGGCTTTGAGGAATGGGCAAAGTCCGTGAATGGTACTAGCTAGAGAACCTAACTAATCTGCCAAATGTCACAGTGGTGTTTGCAACAGCAAAACAAATACAAAAAACAAACATGTGGCCCAATGAGTGTCAACCAACAAACCAAAGACTAGCTAGCAAGCAAACCTGTAATGAAGACCTGAGTGATAATAAAATGAAGCATTTTATACATCTTGTTGAGCTATTACAATGCACAAAAGAAGTTACAAATTAATGCACTACATCTATTCTTGGGGTGTAATAGCTATTTAGGTCATTAACAAATTGGCAAGAGGGGACATCAAAGATAATACTTCTACGGCCTGGATGCACAGGAGTTGATTGCGGTGTGGTGTTGGGCCCTGAGTGCAAATTTATGTGAGCTGGTGTGCGCCCATTGGCAGGCGCTGGGCCCTGGGCGCATAGCTTGCCAGCAGGGTGCCTGGACTATGCATGGACGCGTGCAGCACTCTGGTTTGTCGTGCTGTCCTGCTTATGGGCACTGTGGCAAGGGCCATAGTGACTAGAGAGGCAAGGTGTTGGCCGTTGGATAGGCGCACCTTGTCATTGAGTCATGCATCAGAGTTGATTGTTGTTGAAAAGAATCTGATTGTGTGGAGTGTACGGTGTATGGTTACAGAACTAACCACGGTTTTTTTTCTTTTTTTCTCAGCAGTGATACCATCATATCAATTTTACTTCCTAGTGGCTGAATTTTTGGCTTTATTATGAATTTCAGAAAGCTTAAATTGCTTCATGCAGAAATCTTCAAGATAATGTCATATCATGTGCTCTGACAATCAGGAAGTACCTTGACATGAACATATAAGATTTTGTTATGAAATTGTACGCCACAAGACTATTGTAGGCACTACATTCTTTTTGGCGTCCAGATGTTTACCTATTTTTGGATGTTTAACTTGGATTGTAGGTTGAAACAGCAGCAGGTTCAGAACCACTCTTGTCATTGCTTGCACCACTTGATTCTGGATTACAAACATTCATATTCATATTGGAAAGCTCCTCCTAATACCTCCTGTGTTGAATTTGTTATTGTTCTTGGTGATTCTTTCTGATGTTTCGGGGGTGGTCCTACTCATTAGTCCTGTGGCTATTCGATGTCTGATGCTCCAACTGTAAGTACACCTATCTTTACGAAGCTGCTTCTTGTTAAATGAATATCAGCTGACAAAGCCTCTGTATCTCAATGCATTTATGAGAGCAAAAAACTAACAATTGATGTTTATGTATTATCTTAAACTATAAATGTTTTGTTGGATGTGGTCTACTTATCTCAAATTGCTGTTTTAGGGTTTCCAGTTTGTAGATGCATGTCTGAGAAAACGTCATTTTTAGAGTCTATTTCGAGACAAAATTTTTATAACTTTTCCTAATCCTTGTTCACAAGAAATTAGGTTCAGAAATTCTTAGGATATATTTAAGGAAATGTGTTTTATGGCTTTATGAGAGAAGTGTTTGTAAGGTCTTCTGAAAGTGTGTGCTTTCTTTGTAACTTGTGCGAGCTGTCTCTTCTCATCCATGATGAGAGGCAGGATTATTGGACAACAGTAAATAGTGTTTTGTGCAGGACTCTTCATAGCTGCTCAAGTTCCTCAACCATCTGTCTTTGTTTAATTGCAATGAGATATCAAATCTTTTTCAACGTAAACTTTTTCATATAATTTTGTATATTCCTGAGTGACAAATTTCTTCAAAGAATGAGTGGAATCAAGATTATTTTCGTTCAAATTTGTTTTGTTTTTGAGCTACAAAGCTATCTTTATTTTATTGCGTAGGAGCTACAGGTTCTTTCAAGAGCATTATTCTATGATGCATTAAGTATAGTATGGTTTCTTATCAGTGCCCTGCTTTCTATTTTGTACAAGTTTTGTTTGGGATCATGGTCTTCTTGTATTTCAATTAAGTGGTTCAAATTATATGTAGAAATTTCCACTTATTTGTAACTGTAGCATCTGTGCCTGACCAAACCCAGTTTGATTGCAGTAATTCTTTTTTTCTCTTTTATTTTCCTTTGGATTTCCCATTCAAATCATCTGCGTTAGTTTTATGGTTATAACTTGGAGCCTAGTTTCCAACCATGTTCTTAACAATTCCCATCCATGATACAATTCAAATGATGCAAGTATCCCTCCAATACTGGCCAATCAAAAATAATGTAATCACACCAAATCTTATTTTGAATTGAGGAAGATTTATCTTTCTTTAACTCCATATAGGCCTTCATCACCATTTCTTGCACACGCATCGTGTGTGCTACGGCTTCAAGTATATATATATTTCTTTTTATTGTTAAACATTCCTTGTATTTATTCATGTTACTGACGGAAACTAGTAAATTCTGGTTTCACCACTTTTTGTCGATGAGTTCCTCTTTATTGTTAGTGCAGGTGCAATATTTGGGCCAGCAATAAAATACAAAGGAAGAAAGATCATGTATGGGGAAATGGGATGTTCACTCCCTGATCGCATCTTCCTCGGAGCTTTGCAGAACTGAAAATTTGGCTAAATTGGATACAGTTCCTAGGCATGTAAAGTTAGCCTTTAGAAATCCTGTTCGATGCCGTATCATTTGATAACACTACGCCTTCAGAGAACTGTTTTCAAGTTCTGTTAATTTTGAGAAGACTTTAATTCTTTTGTCACTAGATGAAAACCCTTTTCACAACTTGATCGACGTGCCTCTTTCGGAGGGCCAGTTGAAAGTGACCCATGTCTTCATGGCCAAAAGAATTCTAGTGGTTGGAAGCCCTGTGAGAAAGGATATGGGGCTTACATCAACCACAGGGCTTGACCAGATAAATTTTAGAAGCTGGTTGGACAAAGCTCCACAGCTAAATAGATTCAAGGTGCAATTAGTGCTTTTATCAATGTTCAGCTCTCAGTCATTAGGTTTGCTATAAATTTTAAATTCCTTTAATAATCTTTTCAGGTCCCAATAGAGGCTGAGAGGTTAATGGGACAATGATCTTGTCTTGGAACAGTACTATCACCAGCTTCACCTTTGCTGGCAGGATTTCGTCTTGATGGTTTCAGTGCAATAAGGCCTCGAGTTACCCATTCACCTTCTTCTGATGTAAATATGTGGATATGCATCATCATATTTAGAAGATAAGACATAATATCCCCTGTTGTATTGTATATCCAAGTATCTGCTCTCCAGGTACTCACATGCCACTTATTATACTTCTATGTCATTCATTTACCTTTTACTACATGGAT